CGTGTATGAGGTGTTTCAAGGAAACCGTTGTTATAGTCGATCCTAGCTTGCAACGATTTGAGAGTATCAAGTCCTATTAAGCCATCAAATACCTTGTAAGTTGAAAATTCGCGATGCTGGGATCGTCGCACTAAATTGATGAGATGATTATTGAAATACTGTTGATACTATGAACGGATCGTATGATATATGATTGGGAAAATATTTTTGGGCCAGGTCGGGGTCAATGAATGATTTCGTGGACCCACTATGGCTTAAAAATTTTAAGTTATTTTCTGAGAATGTCATATACGATAACTCGCTGGTGTTGTAGGCAAGTATTGGGAAAATTCTGATCATTTTGGGGTGATTGGACCTCGTCATTTTGATCTATAAAATTTTCTGATTCTTGGTTTGACGATTGAGCGTCATCAGTTTGTGGGTAATATGGTGGGTCATAATTTTCAGTGTATGTTTCATCATTATTGGTTTGGTACACAAAGTTCGAATTTGGCTCATCCACAGTGTCTGTGTTGTAGAGTTCCTCGAATATGAAATTTGGTGGTTGATTAGAGCGCGACTGGAAATAATTATAGCGTGGTTGGTTGGAATTAGGATATTGATATTGTTTGGGCAAGGTATTGTGCGAAGTGGTGCTCATTGATGTTGGTTTTGGCAGCGGTTTGTTTGGATCTAACTTAACGGCATTTACTTGTGTCCTTTTCCCAAAAACCTGCGAATTGGTTGGGAATTTTTGCTGAGTTTTGTTATAGTTCGGTCTCACGAAGATTGGTTGTGATGGGAATGCGTTCTTATTTTGAAAGTGTGTGTATTGAGCAGGTGTATTGAAATTTTGTGCTTTTGATTGATGTGCGTATTGAGCAGGTGTATTTAAATTTTGTGTTTTTGGCTTATTTTGAAAATATTGAGTGTTACTTTCTTGCAAACTGTAAGGCTTCAAGTAAATCTTTCGTTGTGCCTAATGGCTCTTTGAGTCCGGATAAAAATGTGTTCAGAGCAAGATTATTATAAAGGGTTCTTTTAAGAATCATCTACTTCCTGTAAATCTACGTAAGAACATAATAAATTCAAGTTGTGTAAAATTCGGTCGTAGTACTGATTAGGGTTTTCGTTATTATTTTGCCCAAGCATAACGAGGTCTCTGTTAAGACAAGCTTCATCTCTTTGGTCAGCAAAATGCCTACCCAAGATGAGTTTTAATTCATTCCAACTATTAACATTTTGGGTACCAAGAACAAGTTTAGCGTTACCCGTCAATTTTCCTATAATACAATTCAACAAATAAATATTTTGAAAGTGGTTTGGCTCATTGGCATTGTAAAAGGTGTCAATAAGACTCTGACAAACTGCCAAATATCTGTTTAGGTCATTTGGATTGCCGTCAAAGGTCGGCACACAATTTAAATATTCAGGTCTAAATGAAGTAGCCATTATTGATATATTACTGTTTACAGAGTTGATTATTGTCAATTATCGATTCTACTCTGCCTTCAGTACTATTTTCTGTATTATTTAAAGCTTGATTGATTATTCTAATTACTTCTTCAGATTGAAAAGCAGAGTCAGTTGAAGGTGATAAATTATCTATTCGCAAATTTAAGTTACTTAATTGATCAATAATATCATCAATATTGGACATGAATACAATCAATTGCACTGCACTCAGTATAATGAATATCTTCATTATAAGCCAAGAATCTTGGTTAGCGATGCCGGTCCTTCTAAAGACTGCTTGATCTTGTGAGAAATGACGATGATGTTCAAATCTCCACTTATTGTAACATATAAGGTCAAAGTTTTTTGGCAAGCAATTTTTCTCACACAAACGTCTTTGTCCTCGCGAAAATTGGCGATTTAGTCCAATTTCCCGCACTGGTGTTTTAGTAGTGTTCACGATGAACTTTGATAACCGATGTTAGATTATTAGCCACTATCCACACAGCAAACAAACTTAGAGCTAGTCCTAATTTTTCGCGTTAACGGTCCAAATTCTTGCCGAAACTGAACCGAAAAATATCCTACCGACTGCGCCAGTTAACAAGTCGATAGCCGAGAATTACTTTTTAAAAAAACTTTATTTCAACTTGCTAACAATATTTGGATAAAAATAAGAATACAATTATAAATTGAATGCTTTCAACTGACTGCCTGCAAATCTAAGCTGAAAAGCTTTTATGACAATATAAAGTTAAAGTCAGCAGAAAAAGTGATTACTCGGTATCTTCTGGCCATTAAACTTACGTATTATAATAAACAACTAATTTTCCATATATATTCTCGCGAAGAAAAGCTATCGCCATCTGTAGGGAAACACGAGAGCCTAGGGAAAATTTTGCCCTTCGAGTGGAGAAATTGATTAGACTTTATCCTATTTATTGACATTTTTAAATCCCTACAGAAATCCTTAAATTAATATTTGGTTGTTAATTTCCAATCAATAAAAGAAGTTTTTTTGTTCAATTGAATAGATGCCGTCCTTAGCTGTAAGTTGTATGTAAAACAATTAATTCGTAAAAAGGTGGATATTATATTTAAGTAACAATTCACTATATCCCTTTACCTACTTGCATTTTTCTATTGTCAAACAAAAAGGACGTCATCACAAAAGCTCATAAAGTTCAGTTTACTGTGCCTGGAGAATTGCATTTAATGAACTTCCTGCTGGAGAGCGAACAAGAGACCTTATAATAAGCTCTCATGTTTACTTAAGTTGCACTGGGTTTCGGGATAGAGTTAATTTGGACAAAATAGGTAAGGAAGCTAGAGTTTTGGGTTTCATTAGACATTGGACTTTCAATATGGTTTGCATTGAACGCTCTTTGTATGCTGTAGCTTTACAAAAGATTTTTTGTTCAATTTTATTGCATAGTTAGAATTATGTTCAGGCACCTATCTGAGAAACAAAGAAATGCTGATAGATTTGCAAAAAAACAGAGAATACCATGCAATTTATCAATCAATCAAAATGGACCACACAATCTAAGCTCAGCCGAAAATGAAATGGGACACCTCAAAATATCACTATATTTGGAAAGCTGTAACTTTTGTAATTTCATTCCGATGATGAATTTCAAACTAGTGTTGGGAAGCCCTAACTTTATGCTTTTTTCAGTGGTGGCAAATCTGCTTTTGGCCGAAGCTTTCTTATATACAGGGTGCTAAATTTGTCAGCATGCAAAATTTAAGAAATTCATCGCAGAATCTGGAAATAATGACGCATAGTGTAATGATTCTTTATGTATACGTTGAATCACTAGATGGACACCTCTAGACGTTTTTGCAATTTTTATGATATCTTACGTTGCTATGGAGATATAGCTGTTTTTGTCAAATATGATTTTTTTCTTGTTGGCCCTCCTCCAATTTTGAAGCACATGGGTATGCTAGAAATAGAATGTTTATGAATTGAGTTGGATTTTTCTCCAAGATCTCAATGATCATGTCTTCAAGCTCATCTAGATTTTCCGATTGGTGCCCTCTTTTTGCAAGTACCAACTTCATCCAATTTCAGACGTGCGCAATTGGATTCATAGCTGGTGATTCGGAAGGAAGTTCCAGTCGATTCTCATTTTGTTCTTGTAGATATTCATTAACAAACATTGCTCGATGAGGCCGTGCATTATCGTCTACAAGAACAAAATTCTCAATCTCAATAGTTCCTAGCATGCGGAAGCAGATGATTTTATTCTTGCAGACGATAATGCACGGCCTCATCGAGCAATTTTTGTTAATGAATATCTACAAGAAGAAAATGAGAATCGACTGGTACTTCCCTCCGGTTCACCAGATATAAATCCAATTGAGCACGTCTGGAGTTGGATGAAGTTGGTACTCGCATAAAGAGAGCACCAACCGGAAAATTTAGACGAGTTTGAGCCCATGATCATTGAGATTTGGGAGGAAGTTCCAGCTCAATTCATAAACAGTTCAATTTCTAGCATGCTCAGGCGCTTCAAAATAGAGGGGGGGAGGGCAACAAGTTATTAGTTTTGGTTTATCTATACGTATTCTTCTCAATTCTTTTCATTTTTGTTTTGTTTCTTTTTTTAGTATTGTTACTCTATTTGTTAATGTTTGAATTAAAGAAATTGAACCCCTTCTTGCACGTCACTGCTACTTATTTCTTCTCCCCCCCCCCCCCCCTTCACCGCCTTACTCCCTAATCAAGCACCAAAATAAATTTAAAACATACATTTCTTAAAATGTAAGCCTCCATACGCACGCCACTGGTAGGTAGGTACCTACTGGAAGTGAAGGATTTCATTTTGGTCCTTTTTGTGCTTATTCCTCCATTTTTCTCTCCTCCTCCTCCTAATTGAATAGACGAATTTAAGAAAAAAATCATATTTGACAAAAACAGCTATATCTCCATAGCAACGTAAGATATCATAAAAATTGCAAAAACGTCTAGAGGTGTCCATCTAGTGATTCAACCTATACATAAAGAATCATTACACTATGCGTCATTATTTCCAGATTCTGCGATGAATTTTTCAAATTTTGCATGCTGACAAATTCAGCACCCTGTATATAAGAAAGCTTCGGCCAAAAGCGGATTCGCCACCACTGAAAAAAGCATAAAGTTAGGGCTTCCCAACACTATTTTGAAATTCACCATCGGAATGAAATTACAAAAGTTAGAGCTTTCCAAATATAGTGATATTTCGAGGTGTCCCATCTCATTTTCGGCTGAGTTTAGTATCATCACTAAATTTGAATTCAGTTAAGACCCCCATTAGGTAATCATCCCTCTCTAGCTTTCCATGTTCTTCTCAAAACAATTAAGCTCAAGCTGAACCAATGCTAGTTACCGGAAATTACCAATCGCAACAATAATTCGCCCCCCGTATAATGCGCGCCAACAGTCAAGCATTACGATATCAACGCCCTTAAAAATCGATTCGCTCCAAGCACACCGAGCGTTCCAGCTTTCCAAGATTTTGTTTCTCCACACACTCGGTTCCAGTTCTCTGTTTTTCTCCGGATCGTTCACATGGTCAGAATATTATTCCACTCGCGTTTCCTCGTAACGATATTCACGTTTCGGTTACACAGGTCTCCTGCATGAAATAATTATTATGTTTATGATCTGCTGAGAGTTGCAGCGGCTTTTAGACATTATGTGTGCTGAGAAAGACTGTTATAAGGTGGGAATTTTAGGTTTTGTATAAGATAGGTAACAATTAAAAAATTTCTAATTAGGAGATTAGTGGTCATTTTTTTTTTGTAAATCTATTTCAAATTATTCATCCGTTTGTTGGAAAATTCTTTTAGTATAACTGTGGGTTTAAGAATTAACTAAAATATCAGCTGATCTTGGCAGTGAAGAGACATAAAATCGATCTATGAATCGATATAATGATTAGCCTGTCTTAATGGATGAATTAAATTTTGGGGTAGTCTCTAAAAAGTCAACATGGTTAATTGAGAGGTTGGGAGCTAATTTTATCACAATAGTAAAGCTTTATTGCCAGTGATTAAATTGTATACAGATGGGTGATAGGTTTATTTAGAGTCATATTAGATATATTGAAAATTGATGACTACACCATTTCCAACAGTATTTAGGACAGTAACACTTATGGCCATTTGCACAGCTCACTTAAGGGATATTTTATATAAGTGGAGCTTTGAATGTGATTTATATTTCTACAAGAGTTACATTCAAAGCTCCACTTGGATTAAATAACCCTTGAGTTATAGCGGTGCAAATGGCCTCCGTTATAGATTTAAGAAAGTGTCATTTGTATTTTAGAATAAACATTTGTATTTCAGAAAGACCCATATATATTTTAGATTTTTCAAATGTATTTGCGAAATATTCAAAAGTATATTAGAAGTACCTAAGAATTATATTATCGATAATTTTAAATGTATTTTAGAAAAGCCATGTGTATTTAAGATTGAAGCAATTGTATTTTAAAAACACCATATGAATTTTTGAAACAATCAGTTGAATTAAAGAAACTTTTTTTTTTGGAAAGGAAATTCACGAGCTCTTTTTTGGACAAAAATTTCTTTAAATTAATTAATTTGATTAATTTAAATTGATAAAGAAATTTTTGTCCAAATAAGAGCTCGTGAATTTCCTTTCCAAAAAAAAAATTCATTACCTGGACGTGACATCCCCATTCGAATTTGAGAAACGATAAATTGAATTTTATGTAGATTACATGTAGGTAGTACATGTATAAATACTTACAGAGATGGACATCTCTTGTCGCAAATTTAACATAAGAGGGGAACTTTAAAGAAATCAGCCAGTATTTTTTATTTATAATATTTTTGCAACTCTATGGTATGTACATAAGTAAGATACTCTTATAACAGAAACCTACACAATCTAACCGAATACCTATAACTATGTAAAAAAAAAATAATTCTCTTGTCCAACTAACATGTCTTCTAAGCCTATCGAGGCGGAATGAAAGGTAGTGGAATGTTGAGCTGCACGGACGCAATCTCCTCCGACTATGGTAGTCCTGGTTTGGTCAATAATTCCTCCTTTGTTCAATTACACCAGTTGCAGCTACTCGTGGAATGCCAAGGTGGGCTTCTACAAATGATTTAATTTTTGACCAAATTGTTTCAATGGGGTTAATCATTGGTGAATAAGGCGCTAATCTTATCAGGGTAGTATTAGTGCCAGTCAAAGCAGCTTCAAGCCGGCGCGTTATCGCAGACATATACCAGGTCACCTGTTTGAATGCCGCCCATTTCCCATTGCTGCAACAATTGTCTGACCCACACAATAAGCTGCTTCTGCTGTTAATGACACTCGCCAACGTTCCATTAATACTACACCTGCAGCAGATATTCCACCAATGACATGAACATTTGGTTCTCTTGAAGCTGGCAATGTTTGTACTGCCCTTGAACCATTCCTAGATCTTCCTCGGGTTCTTGGACAAAAAAGGTTGAAGTTGGCCTCATCAATCCAAACGATTTGTTTGCCTTCTTGGATAAGAGTGTTGAGGTTGCGTACGTATTCTGCTCGAAGGATTTTATTTTCATTCGAATTCATATTTATTGGCTGTCGATGAACTAGTTTGACAGTAAAGAGTCTTCCTTCTAGGTAATTGCTAAGGGTAGAAATAGCAACAACAATCCTGAATTCATGAAGCACCTTCTCTTTTAAAACCATAAGAGTTGTGCTGCAATCTTTTTCCACCCACTCAATCAATTTGTTTATTTGTTCTTCTGTAAGAACTTTTGGTTTCTGACCACCTTTTTTATTTATATCTTCACGGCCTGACGAGACCCAGTTGTAAGCAGTTTTAAATTTTATATTTAACGAATTGGCTAACTGCACCCAGTCTTCACCTTAGTTGGCATACACGACAATTCTTTTTCTATCCTGGGCAGAATGCTTTTTGTTGATTCTAGGAACCACATTATCTAATCTAGTTATTTTGGCTCTACACATTGAACATAATGATTCTAGTGTATTAAGCCAGCCTTCTTCAACACAATGCGCATGGTAGAGATGGTTAAAGGGAACCATTCGTATCACTGATCTCCTTAACATGGATACTCGGTAAATACCACAATTGTCTTGAAGATCCATTTTCCTGCAACTTCACAATTGCTTATCTATGCAAAATAACTTTTAATATAAAATAACTCTATGTAGGTAGTACACGACAAAGAACTAATAAAGGGACAGCAAGTTTGACACCTGACAAAGATGAAGTATTATGTTTCCTAAGTTAAATTAGTAATTCAAAAATTTATTTGATGCTTTCTTAAGGCCGCGTTAATGGCCGCCATGTTTAAACTGTGATTGGTTGTTTTTTCGAAACTTGTTTTAAGGTCTTTAAAAAAACGGCACATCAGAATTGGCTCAAATTTGGCATAAACATTATTTGATCATTTATCTACAATTCCTTATTTTGGTTTTTCGATATTCAGCCTTTTTTTTTAAATTCAAAAATCATGTTCGCAACCACCAAAACAATTAAATGTGTTGGTGGTTGCATATTTGCATGTTTATCAAGCTTGGATCCGTGAAAAGCATATTTTATTGATAACCACGAAAAACTAAAAAAAGCAAATTGTAGAGATTGTAGATAATATATCAAATAATGTTTATGCCAAAGGATTTTGGAAATTATTGCGGATTTTTTGAGATGAGATGACCTTAAAACGAATTTTGAAGGTGAAAACAGTTCAAGCAATTTCAAGTAGATGGCGCCACGGCAAAAAAGCTACATTGGAAGCATCATAGTTGTATATTTGTCTTTCTCTGTCACTAAGTGTTTCACCGACAAACAGATTTTGTTTTGGACAAATAATAAAATATTGAACCCTATGTGTAGAGTGACGCAGTCGTCATTTTCAAAAACTAAATTTAAACATGGCGGCCATTAACGCGGCCTTAAATTAAATTAGCTTTTCTAAACTACATTTCCAAGTTTAAGTAGTTATTGCAAAATACAAATGATGCTTTCTTTAATACAATTAATTATTCCATTATTCATATGGGGATTTCGTAAATACAAATGGCTATTCTAAAATACTATTGAAGGTTCCTAAAATACTGTTGAAGAAGTTGTAGCTTATGATTTTAGTTGGGCTGAATTTTTATTGATTCGCGACCGTCAACTGATAATAGCTTTCGCGATTTCTTTACTTTCTCAAACTCTCACGAGCAGGATTCGATTCTAGAAACGAATCTAAGCTGATCCAAGGCAAAATTCAACTAAGTATATATATAATGTCTACTAACCACTATGTATTGTCTACTCCTAATCTTTGATGACTGTCAAATGTCGACTCTAGGCTATTTTCCTACTTGATTGCAATTTGCTTAAATAGGTTCAGCTCCCCATTTCGATCATAATAAATTCGCGTGATTTCGATAGGCTGACCTGAATTCCCCTCCCGCTATTTCTAAGAAATTCCGGGAGGCATTTCTGGTAAATATAGTGTTTCCCTTTCTTTGTAGTAGCATCACTTGCGCATTTTGTCATTTCATGTTTTGACAAGGCCTTGTCGGAGACATTCATTCACACACATTTCGATAGATTTTGTGAGAGTTCCTCCTACTAATTTCATCATTTCAACTGTGCCTTGACTTTCACCTGAGATAAAGCAAGTTGTGATGTCTAGCAATTCTTCGAACACAACATTCATAAATCATCATGGCAGGGATATGATAGGATTCCTCTTTAAATAGAGTTTCCCATAGAATTTCTGTCTGGATTTCTATATGAATCCCTTAATCAATGCATTTTTGTGTGTCTATTAGTATTAATCTTTATCAGGATCACTACTTCTGTAGTAGTTGCGTACATCTAGTTGAATCTAACTCTTCATTAATTCATTATCCTAATTATTTCTCCATGTGCAGGTGTGGATTGATTGATTTACAACGTAAAAGGAGAGGCTTTACAGGCAGCATTTAGACGCGCATGTGGCCCATTGTGCTGCCCCCCTCTTGGTGCAGCCCTGTCTTACCTCCGGTGCAAGCAAAGTTCAAGAAAGGTATAGACCCGCTCAGGTCGGACATGCTTTATTTCATCTGGTTCCAGAAACTTGTACCCCAGTTATCGTAGTCTGCGACCGACAAGGGCGTCGCAATCTGTAGACTTGGTAGTTTCATCTACTTCGCTACAGAATCTGCATTCCGTCTCATTATTGGGTCCGATTTGTGCAGGTGGTATCTGACCATTCAGAGCCCCGTCAGGACTGTGATGGTTCTTAGTTAACTCCAGTTTAGTTTTAGGAGGTTTTTTGCCTTCTTGCAGTTTGAGGGACCTTGTAACGATCCAATCGCTAGCCTAGACTCACAACGTAGATTCACTACCTGCAGTCAAATTCTGAGCCAATAGGCCTAGATAACAGAGCAGGAGACGTTGTCAAAATACACAAGGACGCCACTGACATGAAAGCAAAGCCAGAACATCTAAAAGACTGATCCAGGCAAACCACTAGCCTTGGAACCACCAAAACCCAGAGAATCGCTAACGCAAGTATAAGCAAACCTCAGACACAGTTCTAGTGTTTGAAGCCAAGGAAGAATAGACGATCTTTGATTTTCTGAGGTCACTTTGATCCAGTCATTCGCCTTGGTTGTTGGACCAGTTCCTGATCTTGGTTTTCATCAGGCAGGAAACAACCCCAAGTGCAAGCTCAGGCCCAATAT